GAGATGCTAAAATATTGTGACTAACACCTAAATCTCCAAATAACGTGTAGTGTAGTGTGACTTTCTACAGCTTTTTCTGTTGAAAACTGTTGTACCTCAGTCTGCTTTTTAAAATTTTAATTCTTTCAGGTATATTTGGGAGTTTCAAGGGAAAATACATCCACCTAAATGTCTAGATCTAGATGTTTATCAGTTGTGCATTATATGTTTTCCAACACTGAAGATGCTCTAAGTGGAGCTGTGGCTCAGTTAGAGCATCAGACCTTGGGAGAACAGGTCTCTAAATCCACAGTATTCTTGAATAACTTAGAGCAAGTTTCACAGCCCAGGTCTTGATTCCCTCATCCATTACATGAGATAATAACTCTCCATCTCAAAAGCAGTTTTTAGAGAAAAATACTCATTTTGGGTGCATGGGTGTTACAGAAACAGGGCTTGCATAAAACTTAAGGACCAGGAAACAGGGTCATTCAGAGCATAGCCCAGAGCTTACAGTGGTGTCTGCACTGGCAAACACTTCTGCATTGGCAGTGTGCTTGGAAACATTTGGAAATCTGTACGCAAAGGTCACTAGGATATTTTAAACTGGAAAATCACACAATTGTTCTACTTTTTTATAGATTCAGCTATTGATGTCCAATCATAGAACAACTTAAAAGCACCACTTTCCTGCTTGATGACCAAAATCCAATTAGGCACGACAGGTGACTATTGATATTTATTGAAGACAAATAGTAAGATAATCAGTTACCATTCTAAGAAGTCTCTGATATTGTTATAGTGGTAAGTTCCAAAAATAGCTGAGTGCAATAGGAAATGTTTAACAGGGAAGAAAATCCTGAGCTTCTAGTGTTCTTATCTCCTGTTTGCATATATTTTTTGCCATTGAAATGGTAAAAATCCCCAAGCTACCCCTTTTTTCAGACACTTGAAAACTCTGAGCAACTCCTCTGTTAGTGCTCACTGAGTCAGTGAGCTCAAAATAGATTTGCTAGGGTGTTGCATGATCCACTCTAGTCATATTTAATAATTATAAGTTATCTTTTGCTTTTATTAAATAGCATTATGCCTGCTAGGAAGGTGTAGTACCAACATCGTGATTTTCTGCAGTAATGATCTTTACTTACCTGATGAGTTAAGACTATCTGTAAGGCTTTGCTTGCTGTAATGTATCAGTCAGTAAACCTTCTCTGAAAACTAAACCAAGAATTGAAATGTCTCCTTGTGGTTTAAACCCTGGTGTGCAACTGAGTAGTATGAAGCCACTTGCTCGCTCCCCCCCCATCAGGATGAGGAGACGACTGGAAAGATAAAAGTGCAAGAACTTGAGGGTTGAGATAATGAGAATTTAATAAGTAAAGCAAAAGCTGCATGCAAGCAAAGCAAAACAGAACAAGGAATTAATTTCCTGCTTCCCATAGGAGGGCAGGTGTCAGCCATCTCCAGGAACGCAGGGCTCCATCACATATAACCGTTACTTGGGAAGACAAACATCATCACCCTGAACATCTCCCACTTCCTTCTTCTTCCCTCAGCTTTATATGCTGAGCGTGACACCATCTGGTATGGGATACCCATTTGGTCAGATGGGGTGAACTGTTCTGTCTGTGTCCCCTCCCAGTTCCTTGTGCACCTTCAGCCTACTGCTGGTGGGGCGGTGTGAGGAACCCTCTGTGTAAGCACTGTTCAGCAATAATTAAAATATCTCAGTGATGATATGTTATCATCATAAACCCAAAGCACAGCACCATGCAAGCTACTGTGAAGAAATTGAACTCTTATCAAGGCCAAAACCATATAAATATAGGTCTGTACATATTTTCTGTGCTGCACTAACCTGTGACCATCATTGAATGGCTGTGCTGGGCTTTCAAGAGAAAAAGAATGGAGTAACTCAGTTACCTTGTCAGCTTAGTCTGCAAGGCTTTTATTTTTTTCTAGTAAAAAAATGTTAAACCCCATCTACAAAAAAAAAAAAAACAACCCACAAAAAACCCCACAAAAACCCCCAAAAGAAAATCAAAATGCATATCCATCCTGATGACTTCAACATCATTCTTCCTCATGTGAGTAACAGTCCAGCCTTCAGACCAATCCTAGTACTCTTTTAATTGGCAGTCTGCTGTAATGCTGTCATGAATTTGCACATGCCTGCCTTCTCTAGTGCCCTACTTGTATTCTACCAGAAAAGGCATGTTATTGATATTTCATTGGTTCTCTGTTGATCTTATTGATCTGATTTTGTATGTTTAGAGGAATCACGGCACCCTTTTATTTAGGGCCACCAAGCTTACTGAAAGGTTGGAAACAAGAATATTGATCTCTTGGTGTAGGTGGCATAGTACTGCTACGTGTTGTGATTTTTAAGAAATGTGTTTTGTTATATTTTGTATTTTTGGAGGTTTATGGCAGGCATCTAATAGCAGAGAAGGAAGTATTTACTCTGGAAACAGTGGGAATTAGAGATGTTAGTGAGATCTCATTAAGCTAAATCTTCTTTATACATTATGTTTTAGAAAATCTTCACGAGACCCAGGCAGAAGGAGGAGGAATGCCTGTTGCTTTTGATGAGACAAGGGTGATTACCAGAGCTCACTGAAGCACTTTAGATTTCAGATAGTCTTAAGAATGCTTTTTAGCGATAGGCAAACAGTGGGGTGCTCTGCAGTATTTTGTATTACTTTGAAACTATGCAGAATATTATAGCCATAATATACAGCAGCTTGCAAATTGTTCTTGTGCATTGTATAAATCTGATTAAATCTTGCTGCTCAGAGCAGTTTATAGTCCTTGTTGTTAACCAAAGACAATAAGATCCAGTTTTCATGAAATTAAACTCTGCCATTGAGAAATAAATAGTGCACATGTTTCAACAGCAGGGTCCTCCTTGGTTATTCTGTAGGTCAGTATTTGTGTATTCACAGCAACTTTTTGTTTTACCCATTGAGGTGAAAGAGAGGGTGATCTCTGAAGGTGTGTCTGTTCTGTGAGATTAGTATGTCTGTCTAAGCTCTCTACAGAGGAAACCATTCATGCAGGCAGTGGCTGTTGAGATGTTAGCCTCTAGACACTTGACTGATGTACCATAGAGAACTTGGATTGAACTGAGAAGTTAGCATTTTGGTGAACTTTCTCAGAATGAATACATCTTTTCCATACTTCTTACCCTCTGGTTCCTGGTCCTCATGTTCTGAGTGGTCAAGGATTGGCCTCCCCTGTTTGTTTTCTTTTGTTATTTCTTAAAATCTGTCCTATTTCACTGCAAGAATGAAGCAGTCCTTGAACCTGCAGTTACATATGTTGTTGCAGGACCTTTTTTATCCCTGTTTTCAAAACCTTCTCGTAGATAAATATGTAGTCATTTTTCTCAAATCTTAGTATTGTAACTTGTGGTGGTACATAGACTCGTTGCAAGGACAGCAAAGCAGTGCTAGAGATGGCTCTAGGCTGAAGTTCAAATGTCATCAGGCTCTTCATAACAAAGGTATCTTACTGCAGGGGGGAAAAGTAAGACGCATTCCTAGAAATGAGGTTAGACAGTATAATGACACCAGAATAAGCCATGACTAAACACTGGGGAGCTGAGAAAGTAGAGAAAAGTTGTGTTAACACTGGTGCAGTACAACAGTCCAAGCCCATCTCTTTTTCCAGTGGCAGTTCCATATTCATTCCTGAGTGCAGTAGTCATACAAGTGATTTGTTTAGCTTCCTATTTTACACTTTTTGATTTGTAAACCAAAACATTCCATTTATTTTAATCCATATTTCTATGAAATTGCATGGCTTGAATGTCTGCTTACTTGATTGCTTGAAAGCTTTCATCTGTAGAGTTTAGCTCTTTAATTTGCATGCTCTTTGGTGTTATTTTGCTAGAATTTGTAGTTCAGATTTGAATGGCCTGCATTATATTCACATTGTTTTTATTTTACTATCCGTATATATTTTACTTTGGGTCCATCAAAGGCTTCTGTCAAAATATGTATTGTAATATATTTTTTATTGCTTAAAGTAGTCTTTCAATTTTATGCTGGTTCTTGTCTGCGCATGCTTCTAAATAAACGAACTGGACCAAGTTAAGTTCTTCTCGTTCTTTTGTGTGTGTGCCCATGTGCCATTTTGAGGTAAGGTATGGATTTGGATGGCAGAAACTCCATCCTGAGTACTTGGCTTTTGAGAGGTTTTGTATTGAATGCACTCATGTTTGTTTACTTTCTGCTTGCCTGCCCCTTATGCCAGCAGAACAATGGCCGTATTTCTCCCCTCTTTGCTTTCTTGACACTGGAAGACATAGGAATATGGAGCATGACAAGGGCATTACCTCTGTAATGTTCAAATACGCATCTTTTGTTCCTACAGAAAATTTGGAAGTCTTACAGACTTGTGCCAGTCTGAAGACATCCAGGACTTCTTACCCAGAGCTGTTGACAGCGTGTATTTTATGGTGGCTTTATTTGGGACGTCTACTCTGGGGTTCCAAGCAGACTGAATACCAGGAGAATAATTCCCTAAAACACTGGTGTGTTAATGGGAAAATCCTCTGATTCATGAGATTAGTGAATAACATCTTAAAAAGAAGTTAAAATCTCATCATGTTACAGGATTTTGATACTGTTCTGATATAAATGACTCAGCATTTAGTGAAGTGTTGCAGAAGTAGAAGGCTGCCTAATAGGGGATTTATGCCTCACAGCATGGGGATTTCATACAAATAAATGAGGTTGGTTTTGACAGTGACAGCACAAAGTGATATTATATTATGGGCAAATGCACTGTTATTCTGGCAAAAGATGAGTGGTGTCAGTAAAAACAGAGAAAAAGTGGTGCCATGTTCTTGGATAGAATAGATAAATGTATGCATGTATTGAAGGGATGAGGGGGAAAACCAGATGAATGCTTTTAACTGAGAGGAAAAACTGGCCTTAAAAGAAAAAAAAAAAAGAAAAAAAACAAAACCCAAAAGCAACTCCCACCCCAAAAAACTTTGTTTGCTTCTCTTTTAGAAAATCTGATGAGGCCCCTTAAGAACTATGGAATCGCATGGTGAGCATATGTTTTCATTTAAATCAAGCTTCTTTACAGATGTACTTGGTGGAGTTGTGCTGGAAAGCTTAAGTTTTTGCTTTGTTGTTTCAGCATGTCTATGGGCTTCTTGATAGACGAGACTGCCCCTGTTGTGTGGAGGGGACTCATGGTAATGTCAGCTGTTGAAAAATTGTTGAGACAGGTAAGGACTTAGGGTACATACTGGTGTTTCAAATTGTTTATTTTAAGATGCATTTAACTGATACATGAGTGTCAATGGCATTATTTAATATATTAGCAGTGAGCATTTTTGTATCTTGGTCATCTTAAATTCTGAAGAATTTAATCTTAGCTTCAGGTAAGAGGAAAAGTCAAAATTTTTCGCATTTGCATATCTCTTTCAAACAGAACTGTTGTTCCATGCATTTCATGAGTGAAGCATCCCAGTTTGCCTTCCTTCTCATTCCTTTTTATGTTTCTTTACACAATTGTTAAAAAAAAAAAAAGGCATTTTGAGGTTGCCTGAGGATTTGAATGTGTAGGTATCTATGTATCATTACAGCTGTATTCCCTTATGTGCTTGTTAATTCACCAGCGCTAAGAATTCTTGGATGGTGTTTGGCATATGACAGGTACATGAAAATCATTAGATACCATCTCTGTGTAATGCAGATAGATTGTTAGTTAATAAATTTCCTGGCATATGGAAGCAGGGTGGCTTTTTTATTTCTTGACAGATTCTTCCCCCTTTCCCCCCCCCTTTTTATTGTGAATAGATCTGTGAAGTGCTAATGAGACAAACAACTGAAAAAACGCATTAGGGTTGCATGTTTAGACTTTGAAGTGACCCAGATTGTTCACAGCTTAACATCTATTCCAGGGATTTAATGTATACAGCTTGGAGATCACTGGGTTTCTCCTTGTCTTCTATAAATGCCTCCAAATCTTGTACTCCTGTAATGACAGCAAAAAAGAAGATACTTTTTTCTTTTTAAACTCCCCAGCCTTTTTCTATTTTTACTGAATTCTCCTCTAACACAGATTTTAGAATAGTGTGCTCATTGCCCTAGTCAGAAAAGCCATGTGTTTCCAAAATTTCAGGAGGAATATATTTGTCTAGATTTGTCTTTATTTGTCTTTATTTAAAAAATAAGGGGTATTCATGCCAGTAGCTGTGGAAGGGTGTTCTATTCTCTTTGTGTGTTGCATTGCCTTGGCCAGGCTCACAAAGACTTGAGCCTAAAACCTCGAAGGTAGAGCTAAAGTTAGCACCTGCTGTATTGGCATACTCCACCCTAGGAGACCGAAGACTGGCAGGCACCTCCACTGCTGTTGCTTCAGTCAGTAGTATCCCCAGATGGGAAGCATGTGCCAGCATCCTTGTGGAGGGTGCGGATGATGCGATGTAATGAGCTCATTGCTCCCTAGCAACCGATGAAGCAAGTTACATGCTGGCTGATCATGCTGTAGGAACGAGACAGAGTCCATTAATGCTTGGGGCATCAGTTATTTCCCTGACAGTGGAACCTGAATTCTGAAAGAGGAAGGCTTTACAGCTAAATTCTTTTCTCCCTACAAGTATTTTGCTTCTGAATGATGACCAGGGTACTTTTAAATCTCTGCTGGAAAAAGATTTTTCCATCTCATCCTTTGAAGAAAGAAGCTCACAGATCACAGGGAGAACCAGCAGGTTCTATGTAATGTGCAGGTGGTTTCCAGACTACCACGTGCTAATCTCCCTTCTGACATATTTATCAGTCTTAAGAAGAGGTTAACTGTAGAACCAATAGTCTAATAGCCTTAGACACCTAAATAAGAGAGGACTGCAGCATGCAACAGTATTTTTGAAGATACTATAATTCCATTTTATGTTAGAAATTATTTTGTCATCTGTTGGGGGCTTTGAAATATTTCCTTGTTTTCTCTTTCTCTGCTCTGGTTGGTCTTGGCTATTATTACCTTTTGTTTGAGAGCATAAGGTTGCTTGCAAGAGTAAAATACTTCTGCTTGTATTTAACTTCCTAAATACCTGTTCTTAAGAAATAGCTGCTTTACCTCTATAGCTACCTCTAAACCATCTAAGTTAGTTCCCTAGACTAGATATATAGTCTGAGTGCATGGAGTTTGTGTGCATTCAGACAAGCTGAGAAAATACTAAGTTCTCAAAATAATCAAATCAGACAGATAGAAAACACAGAGGTTCCCAGACTTTTCCATGAAAAACACTGGTAGTATTTACAATGGTGTTAGATAGTAGAGGGGTTTTAGTTTGTTTTAATTGCATCAAGACTATGCATTCACTCTGTGATGCTTGTTTGTATGCTTGTTATTTTTTTTCTGTATGAACAAATATGTTTTGCAGAGTTTTATCATGCTTCGGATACTCCAATAAAGCATTGAAGGGCCTAGTTTCCAAATTCATTAATGAGGGCTTGTTAGCTCATTGTTTACTCCTAATCAGTCTGTGCCCATATGAGTGTTTGCTTCTCTTTCACTTGCAACTTATATAAAGTTCTGGAATTCTTACTTTGGAAAATACTTTTGTTAAATATATACATTATGTGCTTTCTTAAATACCTACTGCATGTGACTTCTCTATTTGTAATAGGTGTATATTTGTCCTTCTCTGGTTTTACTTCTTTAGTGGATGAATGTCTTTGCAGCTCAGTCCAGAGTCCAACCTCATACTTGTCTCTTTTCAATTCTACTTGCATATGGTCAGGTTACATTACTTTTTAGATAAAACACCACGTTTTAATTCCAGGCTCTGGTTTTGCTGCTTCTCTTGAGTCTAAGAAGCTACCTTTGTCCTTGTGTGTTACATTGTGTCAGACTGGTAGGTACCAGGCAATAAATAACATTGAATACCAAAACTAGTGCTTAGTGTTTCTCTCGTAATCCATGTCTTGTGAGCAAGTACAGTGTGCTGGGTTCAACAGTAGCAGTCGTTTTTCTTCTTCTTAGTAGCTGGAGCAGTGTTGTGTTTTTCGACTTTCAACCTGGGAACAGTGCTGATAACACCGATGTTTTTAGTTGCTGCTCAGTAATGTTTACTCTGACCAAGCACTTTCTGAGTCTCCTGCTCTGCCAGGGAGGAGAGGAAGCCAGGAGGAAGCAGAGACAAGACACATGACCAAAACTAACCAAAGAGGTATTCCATTCCACAGCATGTCATGGGCACTATATAAACTGGGGGCAGTTACCTGGAAGGGTGAGATCACTGCTTGGGTCAGGCTGGGTATCGGTAGGCAGATGAAGAGCGGTTGTATTCTCTTCCCTTGTTATTTCCCTTATCATTATTATTATTGGTGGTAGCAGCAGTGGTTTGTGTTATACCTTAGTTACTGGACTGTTTTTATCTCAGCCTGTGGGAGTTACATTCTTTTGATTCTCCTCTCCATCCCTCCAGGAGCAGGGGGGGAAGAGGGAGCGGGGGGAGTGAGCAAATGGCTGTGTGGTTTTGAGTTGCTGATTGGATTTAAACCACGACAGTTCTTTTTGGCACCCAACATGGGGCATGAAGGGTAGAGATAGCGACAGATCTGACCAGAGTGTGTCTAACTGTATTTGTGATAAGCATTCATTGTTTCAGAGTAATAGTCACTCGTCACAATGCTGACTTATTGCCTCTCAAAGTTGTTGCTCTTGATCTCACAGTTTCAGCATGTTGCACCTTACTTACTGCTGGTATTTGCTGTGTTAGTATTTATCAGCTGGGAGCCTTGGGTTAAGGTTCTTGTTTCATTGTACTTTATGGTAATGACTTGCAGTACAATGGAATCATGGATCATGAAGCTGATCTGTCTTGCATTCCCAGTGTGGTCACCACATCTGTGCTTTGGGAGGTATATAATAGAAGTGCTTTTTTCTCCTTCTCGGGTGGTCAACCCATGAAGGAGGCATTCCCTTAGCCTCCCCCCCTCCTACCGTTTACAGCATCTCATTTGAGAGTTCTGAAGGTTTTGAATGGCCTTTAGGTACCCTTGAGACCTGCCTGCTGATTGTGATGGGGATCACCATGTTGGCACGCACAGAGAGTGTGTTTTGCCCACGACCATTTCGTCTGGTCCTGAGAGTTAAGCAGAGTTGGGTTTGGGCCTTATCAAGGGTTACATGACGCTATAGGAGGACTGAGAGATTTTCCCTGAGGCTGGACAGTCATGAGTGGCAGGGTGTGTGGGACAGTATGGGCAAGTATCTAGGTCAGTGGGCCCCTCCGGTGCTTTGGAATTTCACCACCGAACAAGTGCGAAATCCATAAGAATTAGTAAAACACTTAAATGAGGTGTGTTGTTATCCTGGCCATACCAGAGACAGACAAATCATGGCAACGTGCTGGGGCTTGGCCTATGCTTACAGAGCCCTTTTTGGCACTACCCAGCACCTTCAAAAGAAAAAAATGTCCCTGGATCTGAGGGCAAAGCAACAGACAGCACAGCTACTCCAGCTCCAAGCACAGCAGCTACACCACCCCCAGTGACAAGTACAGTAGCTACTCAAACTTTGGCTGCAACGGATAGCACAGCTACTCCAGCTCCAAGCACAGCAGCTACACCACCCCCAGTGACAAGTACAGTAGCTACTCAAACTTTGGCTGCAACGGATAGCACAGCTACTCCAGCTCCAAGCACAGCAGCTGCGCCAACCCCAGCGACAAGTACAGCAGCTACCCAAACCGCTACAGAGTTTTGTGGAACATGACCTTTTCCTTGAAAAAGGAAATGTAACTTGTAATACAAAATAGAGTTAGCAGTTTAGTGTACTGTTTTACATATATGTTGTTGTATGTTCATCAAATCAGTATATAGATGCAAATACGTAGTGTATTAATTCTATAGTGTGTTCTACTTTTATTGAAAGTTTTACTCTGTAGAAAAGAAGGAAGGGGATGATGATAGTTATTGAAAGAACAAGAATATATAAGGAAATTATTTTTTACCTGTAGTGAAAGTAAATTAAAAACAGTAGTGGAACATTTGATTCTATACAAACATATTCATAACTCTTTAAGTTACATATATCTCTATTTTACAGGCCTTGAAATTGTCCAAAATTTTGTTGTGCCTATGAAGTGACTTCTTTGTTCACATATTTGGATGTTGTGTAGGCCTGTTTACACTTCAGGGTCATCTTTTTCTCTTGTCTGGGTTTTAACCCTTCCCATTTGCCACATTTATCTTAATGTAAAAATTTTTTCACCTC